TCCCCCCCGCCCCCACCCCCCGCTTCTTCGTGAGCACGTGGGCAGGGATTTAATAGCACAAGGTTTATCATTAAAAAGCGAAGGGGAAAAAAAAAAAAGAAAAGAACTTGGGAAAAAAAATGAAACCGAAGTGTTGAAATGAGGCTGGAGAAAAATATGCTCTTGGAAAGGGATGGCGGGATCTGGATTCGCATACCCGCTTAAGTAATTATATATATATATTTTTTTATAGATATATATATTATTCATACATGCACATATATTTTTGCTCAGAGGAACACGCATCTTTGGAGACCTTCGAAGGAGGGCTGTTTCTGGCTGCAGAATTCACACAAGCTTTCACGGCCCCACGAGTCCAGCAAAGGCCTTTTTATGTCCAAGAAGCTCTAGCGGGATTTCAATTTTTGTATTGTCTTTAATTACTGTCGCTTTTTCTTTTTTTTTTTTTTAATCGGGGGATCCACATGGGTTTAGGTCCTATTTCCTCGAATAATTATGCCTGATCGATGTTACCTGTTAGCCAAATTCACGGAGGCAACGAGCAGATTTTAACGCTCCAAGACTCTCCATAAGGTTAAAACCAAGTAGCCAAATACTCAATTAAGCCGGGCGCGTTTCGCCCACTCGCGGACTCCAGCCCCCGGGGGTCTGCAATCAGTTCCCACGCAGTGCTGCGAAACAGCCCATTTTTAAGGTTTATGCTTCCATTTTGGGGGGGTGTCCTTCATTGGGGTTCATCCCACCCTCTCAGGGAAGAAAATAACACCCCACCAACGCAACGGATTTGGGGATGGGTGGCATTGCCATGGCCTTGGTGGTGCCGGCAGTGGTGGGGGAGGCCATGCGTGGGTGAGCGACACGCCGCGGGAGAGGGCCGTGAGCACGCGTGGGGCCCCCGGCAGCCCTCCGCGGGCGCGGTGCCCTTCTCCCTCCCCCGGTACTTACATGTCCGAAGGGGTCGAGGTGGTTGTTGGTGAGTTTTAGCTTCTGGAAGGAAACCAGCTGCCTCATCCCCGCGGGGGGGGTGAGTCGGGGTGCACGTCCAGCCGCCCCGGCATGGCCGGCTCTGCCTTCCCCGTCACCGACCTGCGTGGAGACACAGGCACTGAGCTCCGGCCGGAGGCGGGGGGCTCCCGCTCCCCCCATCCATCCCCCCCGGTGGGGTCCCTCCCGCTCAGGTATCCCCGTACGCGGAGGCAGCGCGGTGCCGGGCGGTCACGCCGCGCTTGGGGAGAAAAGGCATTTACAAACGCTGCTCGGGGAATTAATTGAGCTCTTTGGCACCTTTCCTGTCGGAGATGGCTCTCGCTGTTTCCCCGTTTAACCCCATCCTTCCCCCCCCCCCCCCAATTTCCCCCCCCACCCCCCAGGAGCAAAGGACGGGCCGTGTACCGATCCTTAAAGATTTTCCTGCCCGGAGGTATTCCCTTCCTTAATATAATTAAACCATCAGCTCCACAAAAGCCAATAATCTCACGGTCAAACAGGATTACGGTTATGGTTAGCTAATTGCGACAGACTTTTCTCCTTTTTTTGATGCGTTTCTCTCCCAAGGACCGCGGGAGCATCCCGAGGGGCTCAGGTGAAGCCCCAAGCAGCCCAACATCTCTCCTCCGCGGGGGAAAAAGAAGGATGAGCCGCTGATTCAAGGGTATCCCCCAACCCGTGCCGCCCAGGTTTGGCCAGCCCAGAAAGCCCGACACAGAGCTCCCCTCCCTCCCCTTTCCCCCACGCGTGCATACCATTTATTATCTGCAAATTTGTATCTGTGGTCATCCGCTGGTACAATATCCATCAACAGTATGTACTTAGTTTTTGGATTGAGTCCAGTGACCTTCACTTTGTAACTGGGGAACATACGCCTATTAAAAAAAAAAAAAACAACAAAACACCAAAAAATAAAGTACATAAATATAAAAGCGGAGAAAGGAAAGTTTTCCAAGGTGGTTTCGTGTGTGTTTGCGGAGAGGAGGCGGGGGGGGGGGGGGTCAATTAACGAAAAAGCAACGCCACACTCTCAGATGGACCCTCCTGAAAGGCTCGGGCAGAGAGGATGGGTGCATCCTTCCCCTGGGGTGTGGGAGATGTTTGGGTGCCGCCCGGGGTCCCAGCTGAGGCGAAACAAGCGATTTATCAAGGCAGAATAGTAATTGCGAGGCTGGCGGGTTTATTTATTCACCTACTCGTGTGCCTGCTCGCCTGTTCGTATTTTTCTTAATTATTTGTTTCGCCAAGAGTTCGACTCCCCCTTCTTTGAACAAATCTGGTGAGAGCTTTTGGAAGCAAGTTACTTCCCTCTATACATAAACCGCTGAAACAGGAGGGGAGATTTGCCAAAAAAAAAAAAAAGTAAAAACATATATTTCTATAAATATGTCTATTTAAAATACATATATTTCAACCACCCCCCATGTGTATTAACGGCTCTGCGTGCAGATATAAAAAAAACCACCCCTACACGCCCCCAGGTGTGACACCAAACCTGTGTGCAGCGCGTACAGAGACATCAGCAAACACACCTGACAAATACTTGGAAACCCTCGGATACACACTGAAGACAGGGGCTTTTCGAAATATTTTCCATTACTGCAAGGCAGGGACTTAAAACACTGATGTTATTTTAGTTTGAGCTTTCCAAATATTTAAAAATAAAGGAGATGAAAATGTATCCCTGGACTTAAAACACGCATAAACAAAAACCCCACACCTCTAAAAATACGGCACTCTTCGTCTCACACTTGTCCACAGCACCAACGGTATCTTATTTTTACATAAAGTCCAAAGAGAAAATGGGAGGGGGGGGGGGGGGGGGGGAAGCTACCAACGAAGAAAGCGGGGATTTAGCTTTAACGTTTTAAGGGAGAAGAAACCAAATTCCACCTGAAGAATGATCTGTAACTCCGTCGAAAACACCTGACCGGCAAGAACACGGACTTCTCCAACAATAAACATGGGGAATTATATAAATAAGGAAACCTATCCCGTAGCTCCCCTAAAGCCCCTGCACTGTAAATGTCTATTTTATTGCTCTCCAGATGAGATTTCTGTCCACTGCGATATATGTTTGAACCAAATTCCACCTGAAGAATGATCTGTAACTCCGTCGAAAACACCTGACCGGCAAGAACACGGACTTCTCCAACAATAAACATGGGGAATTATATAAATAAGGAAACCTATCCCGTAGCTCCCCTAAAGCCCCTGCACTGTAAATGTCTATTTTATTGCTCTCCAGATGAGATTTCTGTCCACTGCGATATATGTTTGAAATTTCTGCAAAAG